GATTGCTATTTCACTAGTCCTCTATAGAACCAAACTGAGCATAATGCTTGTTTCTGTGGATTTACATGCATCAAGCATTTTTTAGCTTTTTATTTTCTCAACCTGAATCAGAACAACGAACAGATATTTGAACAACCTTTATCTTGGCAAGATTTGTTATAATTCCTGCAGGTATTTCTTGATTTAGTACTCTGTGCTTCCGCTTCATAAGCTACAAGTTCTTTTGGTCATTTCCTTTTAAGCCCCAACATTGAAAATAGTAAATGGAGAGGACTTTATAAATAGCTCCTTGAATATTAGGGCTTAAACTTTATATTTTTACGTATGGGAGGGCCTGACAAGGCTATTCCTTCGGGATGACGCGATATACAGTAACCTTTCACATTATTATTAGAGTGAATCTGAGCGACAATTACAACTATCGGCTGACCAAGACGGTTCCAGATCTCTTCCTATAAGACTCATTTTTCATTATAAACCTGAAATACCTTCAAAAGCATAATAAGTCATGAACGTTTGTGAATTTCCTTGTATTCAACATGTTCGCTTTAGACCGTGCAGAAAATGTCAAGTAAAGGGATTGAAGAGCTAAACGCAAATGTACAACTCAGCGAGTTTTTAGCTGGTCTAATAAAATAGTGATTTTGGCACTTATAGAGCAATTCTTCTAGTATTTTGAGAAATTCATCAGTTCTGTGCTTTAAAACAATTTGGTGGTAAGCCGGGCACAAAAAACCGAACTTTTAGCGTCTTTTTTCAGAATAGAATGTATTATGTAGAACTTCCGCAACATGCTTCTTTCTCAAAAAAAACTTCACAAAAAAATTTCCAATCTTTAGCTTGTTCCAAATTGTTTTTCAGCTTCTAACATAATTCAATTCAGCAACTCCAAAGTTCTTCGCACAATTACATTTCACAACAAGCTTCTGTAACTTTCAATTTTAATTTGATTTACAATGAAGCGACCAGGAATTCAAGAAGTATGAAACAAAAAAATGCTAACTTTACTACACTAAGGTCAAATCATAAGTCTTGTAGAGACATCTTTTTGTATAGGAATATTATTTGCATCTATGAGTTTGCTTTTGAAATCCAACTTTCCAGTAGTCTATTTGACTCAAACGGACCTAAAACAGATCGTCACTGATGTAGCTTTCTACTTGCACAATTGGGAGAATCTCGCGCAGTTTCCCATTGAGGATAGCAAGGTATGTAGTA